CTCTCTCTCTCTCTCTCTCTCTCTCTCTCTCTCTCTCTCTCTCTCTCTCTCTCTCTCTCTCTCTCTGTGTGTGTGTGTGTGTGTGTGTGTGCAAATTCACAATCTGACACTTTGACCTATTAAGTTATATTCGTCGTGGTCCCGACTCACTCGAACCTACAAGTATTTTAGTCTGTCGTGTTTAGTACCTGCCTAACCCAAAAGGGACTTAGTAATAGGAAAGCACTGACAATCTCATCATTAATTGGGAAGGGGTCTATGCATCTGCACAACGCATATTTCATCTTACGACATAGAGACAACTCCCGCCTAGGGGGGATTTAATATTGGATCTCTGGACTGATGCAAAAAAAGCAATCCATAGCAACATTTGACGTCGTTCGCTAAATTATGTTGTTAATAAGATTTGTAAATCAGTGGTTCCTGTTTGAAACAAAATCAATAAAATAACTAATTTAAAAAGCATGAAAACGGATCCAAGTAAAGTATATAAGAAAAACTGATATGTTGCTCGATGTGTGTGTGTGTGTGTGTGTGCGTGTGTATATGTGCGTGTGTGTGTGTGTGTCTAATCACCACCGCCGAATTGCCCGAAGAAGAAGAAGGAGGAGAAGAAGAAGAAGAAGAAGAAGATGAAGCGGGAAAAAAAAAACAGCAAGGAAGAAGAAGAAGAGAAATAAAAAGAAAAAATAACAGCAAAGAAGAAGGAAAAAAAAAACAGCGAAGAAGAAAGAAAAAAAAAGAAAAAAAAAAGGGGAAAAAAATCCTGTTTTTTTGTTATCGATTTCCGTTTTGCATTTCTTTTAATTTCGTAAATCAAGTCAAATTCAATTGTATGGCTTTGCAAACTCTACAACTGTATATATATATATAGGGTCACCAGCCCGTATGTATGGAGGTCCCCGGGCAGACCTCCGTACGTACGGGCGTTCGGGGTCCCGTATGGGGTCCGAACCCGACGGCGTTCGGGCCCCGCCAAAAATCATTTCGGGGCCTGAAGATAATTATTTGTTTCTGAATGTTTTTTTGTGAGCTCTCTATGACATGAGGTACGTGCCTGTAAATTTTCAAGTCATTTGACTAAGCCAAAAAAGAATTAAAAATCGCCACAAATGGCGGTGTCAAAACGTGCTCGCCCACGTATTTTTTCACTTTTTACTTTTTGTTTTCACCTTAGTTTGGGGTCTAAACAATTTTATTATTTTTTGAAACTTTTTTAGTGGGTTTTGTATTACGTGAAGTACACATCTGTAAATTTTCAGGACATTTAGCTATGCCAAAACAAAATGACAAATCGCCAAAGATGGCGGTGTCGAAAACATGCTCGCGCACTCACTACATTTAATTCTCTTTTTATTTTTATTATTAGTATTTGTTTTCCGTATTTTATTTTTATTTCAAATTTGGTAAGGAATTCGGATGTAATGCTCAGACAAATCTTAACATATCTTTTTTTCAGATTTTTTTGATGACTGTTTTTTTTTTTTTTTTTTTNCGTTCGGCCCGAACGGTCGAACGCATCCCCAGGGGCTCCCATACGTTCAGGTGTTCGGGTTCGGGCGTTTGGCCCGCCCCGAACGCCGGTTACCCTGTATATATATATATATATATCGTCACAAACAGAACTGCCCGGTAAACCGTAGGAAGAGAGAGAGAAGAGGACAACAAACGAGGGGTTGTGACAAACTGTTTCGTCGGAGTTTCACCGACTCATCAGGAGCCTAACAGTCTGCAGAATCCCCTCACTGATTATATATATATATATATTTATATATATATTTTTTTCACATATTTTTTTACCCCTAAAATAAAATAAAAAAATTTGAGCCACGAACTGGCCGTCCTCCCCACAACCGCAGTCGGTTTTTCTGGCCGCCGCGGCCAAATTGCCCGTGGCCCAAATTGTAATAGGCAGGGGGCATAGTATTCCGAGGGGTCTTGGCCCAGGTGGTTCTGTGTTTTGTACAGGTTGGTCAGCGGATCAGTTGTTCGAGGTGCTCTCAATTTGGGACAGTCAAGATTTTTCTTCGGTCAGCTGTTAGGCCTGCCGCGGGGGTAAGGCTGTTAGAAGGTACCGGTAGTAGGGTCTGTGTCTAGTCTTGTCGAGATCGAGTCTTGATTTTGACGATCGCGACCGGTAAGCTGTCAGTAGTGCCTTCTGTAGGGTACTTATAGGGCCAACCACATTGATGAAGTATCAACGATGCTTTGACCCCTGATGAGTTCGGTGCTGGCGGCCAAACGAAACATGTCGGGTCCCTTGCCAGATGTCTGGCCTGTTCTTCACGCGTTGGTGTGCTGTCACCATCTTTCGGTCTAGGCTGATGGGAAGTGCTGTACCAAGTTTTTTTTTGTATTCCCACCCTGTCGCGTTCGGGTTCTTTCATCAATGTGTCGGCCGACTCTTCTCTCTCTCTCTCTCTCTCTCTCTCTCTCTCTCTCTCTCTCTCTCTCTCTCTCTCTCTCTCTCTCTCCTCCTTCCCTTCTTTTCCTTGTTTGGTGTGCCGAACTTGCAATCTTCTTGATGCTTGATGGGATTTACGAAGTTCTCTTCAACCATCCTTTCAACGTTGTAACCCCCGTAGAAATTAGACTACGGGAGCGTGGCTCGGTTGTGAGTTGATAGGAGACGGCGACTGTTAGGCACATTGTTTGCTTTTTTGTTCTACTTTTGCTCTTCTTCGTTCCTCTTTCCACACTCCTTCCTAATACTCAGCATGGCTGGTACGTTTCCTTCTCGTGGATGTTATAATTGCGGCTCGCCTCACCATTTCTGTCGCGAATGCCCGCAGCGAATTGGTGGTCAACGGCCTCCGGCGACTGGTGCCAACAATGTCCCTACTGGACAGCCTCTGCTTGCGCTGCCCACACCCATAGCGAATGTGGACGCGATGCCTGCTACGGCCCAATAATCCACTAGCAGTACTGGAGGCGGGTATCAGAACAACGGACACCAGTATGGGGGGGCACCACGTAACAACTTTTGGAGATCTAATCAAAAGTGACTTGACAAAGTATACAACAAGTATCTGCTGGACTTGGATCAAGAATCTAAGCAAAAGGAGGAAGAAGAGAGAGCTAGGAGGGCTAAAGAGGAGGAAGAGAAGAAGGAGGAATGGAGGAGGGAGCGTGCGAAGTTGGAGTCTGAAATGGCCGAGAGAATCGACAAGCGGATGGATTCGGTCTGCAAGTGTGTCAAGGTTAGCTGCCGGAATCAGGGTGAATGTAGTACAAAGGACTGTGACGAGGTTACTAAGTTGAAGCGGGAGAATGAGGAGCTTCGGCGGGCGTTGCGGGGCGATACGGATGAAGGGAAGGTAGGTAAACTCGAGCGGGAGATTCTGGAGCAGCGTAAGCAGGTGAGCGATAAGGAGAGTAGGCGAGATGAGATTGTGGCACTCAAGCATGAGATCCAGCAGTTACGTGAATCGGCGGTCAAGGAGTAGGAGTTGACTGGGCTCAAGAGTCAGCTTGAAGATTTACGTATTGAAGCACGACAGTGGAAGGATGAGGCGTTGAGGCCGGGGAATAAACGTGGTAACATCGCTATGGCTACCCCGGTTACTAATGCACGAGCATCACCCAGGCCGCGTCGGACGGATGACAAGGAGCAAGAACAGGATTGGAGGTCCGAATACAGGAAGCTGCATAGCTTGCGCAGAGCAGATTTTACCGAGGTGGAGGCGCTTAAGAAGAAGAAGGCGCTAGCTGAGATGGAGGTCGTCAATCTGCAGAGGCAGATGAGCGAACGTGACACCAATGAGGCAGGAGGGGAGAAGGCCTCGGGAGGAACCAACTTGAAGGAGAGATTGGAGGTTGTTGCTCTCAGGACTGCCCGTAGGGTCAGGAAGGCTACTCCGAATCGGGAGGGTCTGAGGGGTACTTCGCGACGTGAGGAGGAACCCAATGCAAAACACGGTTGTAATGATCGTGCATCTTTTATTGAGGAGCAAACCAAGCTCCTGAAGATGCTGAGGAAGTCTTCCCTGGAGCAAATCTGCAAGGAGGCGGGGCTGAAGCCAGGCAAGGTGGATGAGATGATCGAGGAGATTGTACAGTTCCGGGTTAAGAACGCGTTGGGTAGGAAGGAGGGAAAGGAGCCGGTGGAGGTCGTCGATGTTGAATCGTCACATAATGAGTCCACAAGCGGTGGTGACGAAGCCTCCGCCGAGCTCTAGTCAACTCCCCGGACGCGGCTACCTTGTGGTCACTGGCCTTGTTTTGTAGGAAACATAGATATTCTACTCCGGTTGTCGAAGCACTTTCTTCTTCTTCTCCTCGGTCTTTGGTGAGTGATGGTGATTTCCGGTCGGGGACGTCTCGATGCTTGGCTTCTCTACCTTCCCGTGGGGTGTCCGCTAAGGATTGTTTGATTCGCGATAAGGATTTTAATGCATTCTTTCGTCTGGTCGTCATCTGGCTAATTCTGAAAAAGGAAATTCCGTGGGCGGCCACACTAGGCCCGTATCTGTCGGAGCTTCTGATTCTGATTATGACTTGGCCGAGTGTCGTGGTCCCCTCGTTTATATGCTAATTTCTCCTTGGACTCGTCATCTGTACGTAGGCTTTACTTCTCGATCTTTACATGTCAGGTGGAATTAGCACGTATACCGTGCATGTAACTTGAAGGTGTTTGATGATGGAGGACATAATCATCGGTTGTACGCATGGCTCCATCGGTGTGGTGTTGGTTCTTATGTGGCGGTCCCCCTTTTTGGTTGCTCGTTTGAGGACATGCTGGGACTGGAGAAGTATGGTATTTGTTGCCTTAATCCTTATCTTAACTCTAGGAATCGACGGAAGAAGGGTAAGAAGAAACGACCGGGGTTGCGAGAACGTGTTAAGCGGAGTAGATCTGGTTCGAGAATTTCTGCTGGTCTACCTGCCGATAGGCATTTGGTTTTTCGCTCGTCGGATGGAAAAGTGTCTGCATCTCTTTCTCGCTTGCATGAGGGTTGCGTGGAAGGTAAAGTACATAAAATTAGTATCGAATGTACTGGTGGGAATAGGCTGGCTGAGAATTGGAAGGTTCTCAAACGAAAATTTGGATCCTCGATTGTGCGATGCGATGGTGCTGTGGAACTTTTCCGTAAGGCTAAGGGCTGGTTGCTGGCCGGACGTTCTCTGTCTTTTGATCCGGTGGTTGTGTTCTGCTCCCGGTCCGCCATCTTGGTCCCTACTTTGGTTGGGTTCCTGTCTGATCCAGCTTCTCGGAGGATTTTGTATTCCTGTGATTTGGGGATGCTAATCAATGGGTTCTCGGCTATTCGGGGTCTTTCAGCTAAGCGCTCACGATATTCTTTACGAGTCATTCTCTCTGGGTGTATCCGTAGACGATTTGGTGTGCATGTGCGACGGAGACTTACTGCTCGAGTTACCTTCGATGAGAGATTGAGCAAGCAAGGGATTCGGGAGTGTTGTACTAATTTCATTATGGGATTTGACATTTTGTTTGAGTGGAAAGCTATGGTGACGAGAAGGATGAGAGTGGTTTGGCTTAAGAACAAAAGCGTTGGAGATTTGCTGTTCGATTTTAGAGCAGCGGCCAAAGACAAGGAAGGGGTGTGCACGTGCGCAGATAAGGATGCTGCGTATCCTAGGACAGGTGGGCATGTGGCTTTGGGCTTAACGAGTGCGGCATGGTTCCCTCCTGGTTGAGGAATAGCAAGAATATTCCATGACCAACCGAACCGGGTCTGATGTCGCGATTAAGGAAACAGTTGGATGGTTCGATGCAAGGGCTGGAGTTTTCGGTCCCCATTGTTACTAAGGTGGGGTTGATGGAGTGTTTTCAGGCTGGGTGCAGAGAAGGTAGTGATGATTGTACTGTGGATGAGGTTTGGGAATGGAAGAGACGATTCCAAGGGTTGGTGAAGGTGCCCATTGATTCTAATGCGGGGGATACCCTGGTGTGCTGTCCAGTGGTGTACCATATGGGGATCTCGAAGTTGTTCCTGAATAACCCTGGGTTTTGTCGGTTCACCAAGGATGAAGACATTTTGTTAAGCCCTGGGTTTTGTCGGTTCACCAAGGATGAAGACATTTTGTTAAGAGACATGGGGGGCAGGTACAAGGAACAAGGGCTCGCTAGATTTGCCAAATGGGACACTAAGGGGAAACTGGGCGATGCATATGTTGTGCCAAAACACAAAGACGTGGGGAAGTGGCGACCCATTTGCCCCTCGTTTTCCGACTGTGGGGTTCGAGCTAGTAGGAAGGTTTCACGAGTTATCAACCTGTTGGTTTGGGATTTACCCGTGGGGTCGCATTTCAACTTAAAAAGTACTGACTTGCTACAGGAGGGTATCCAATGGGTCAATGCCGACTTGAAGGAAGGTGAAGGGTGGGTGACAGCGGCATTTGACATTAAGGAAATGGTTTGCAATTTGCCACATTCATCCATAATGCATGCTGTTGACTCGGTGATGGATTTTTGGACGTCTAAAGGGATGAACGGTATGCTGTTAAAAAAGATGGGTAAAGGCGCTAAACTGTAGAAAGGGAGGAAACAAGAAGGGTGGGATTCTGTTGATTTTCAGACAGTCCGTGCTTCTGTCAATTTTGATCTATGGAACACCTATGTCAGGGTGGCTGACGTGGTTCTGAAGCAGGTCGTTGACATCCCGATGGGGAAACCGTCTAGTCCGGCTCTCGCTTGTCTGTTGTGTGCGCATTCTGAGTTTGTCTTCTTGTCTTCAATTGGGAGCGATCGAAGTTGTTTCATGGGGTGCGGTTTGTTGACGACGTCTCCGTTTTCGTGAGATATAGGCTTGATGAAGCGGAAACGAGGGTGAAGGCTGAGGATTTGATAAGACTTCTTGAAAAGTGTTACGACAGCAATTTGATTTTGGAATGTACCAGCCGTTCTGATTGCTGGGAGTTTTTAGGATGTGTAATCAAGGATTTTGGTTTCCCGGTGGGGATCAGGTGCGCCGCTGTGCACAAGAATCAGAGAGGGATTCTGCAAGGCATTCAGTTCCAAAACCTGCAGGATGCATGTTCCTATACCAGTAAGCAGCAGAAGATGGCGGCCGTGGAATCCTTCCTGCACCGTGCATTACGTTTCACCAGTATGCCGGGTGCCGAGATGTGTTTTCTCTTCTCTATGAAGGTTGAGCTGAGGCTTCGGGGATTTGGAGATGAATTTTTTGATGATGTGTTAAATAATTTTTCGGGGAAATTTTAAGGAATCTGGCAGCACTGGGTGGATTGTTTGACGGGATGGGACAAGTTGCTCTCTGTTATTGGTATGCCTTGTAATAGGCAAGGGGCATAGTATTCTGAGGGGTCTTAGCCCAGGTGGTTTTGTGTTTTGTATAGGTTGGTCAGCGGATCAGTGGTTCGAGGTGCTCTCAATTTGGGACAGTCAGGATTTTTCTTCGGTCGGCTGTTAGGCCTGCCGCGGGGTAGAAGGTACCGGTAGTAGGGTCTGTGTATAGGGCCAACCACATTGATGAAGTATCAACGACGCTTTGACCCCTGATGAGTTCGGCGCTGGCGGCCGAATGAAACATGTCGGGTCCCTCGCCAGATGCCTGGCCTGTTCTTCACGCGTTGGTGTGCTGTCACCATCTTTCAGTCTAGGCTGATGGGAAGTGTTGTACCAAGTTTTTTTTTTTGTGTTCCCATCCTGTCGTGTTCGGGTCTTTCACCAGTGTGTCGGTCGACTCTTCTCTCCCTCTCTTCTCTCCTCCCTCTCTCTCTCTCTCTCTCTCTCTCTCTCTCTCTCTCTCTCTCTCTCTCCTCCTTCCCTTCTTTTCCTTTTTTGGTGTGCCGAATTTGCAATCTTCTTGATGCTTGATGGGATTTACGAAGTTCTCTTCAACCGCGGCCGCGGTTGTCTCATAGGGAAACCATTATTGATTAAACACAACAATACGTTTTTTTTTATATCTGGTATGGGGGGGGTTCAAGTATGTGATTAAGGCCAAATGGCTACTGCCTGACAGCATCGATGACAGTTCAAGGAATTGTTACAAACGATAGTTCAGACTGGTAGGTGATAATGAATGCAAATCATAATTGTATGGTCATACTTGAAGTTAGTCAATTACATATATGATTTGTGTGTTTGATATATGAAGATATTCCAAGCAACAAATAATTCATTATCCCATCCTGTGAATTATGATTCTTTATAGTTTGTTTATCTTGTTTGTCATTTAATTAATCAAATAGTCAATTACTCTCATACTGTATATTGAGACTTTCTAAAATATTAGTTTTGAAAGAGACTGGACTTAATTTCCATACAATTGCTACACCATTTTTATTGTTTACACCAGAGAGAGGTAGGCTGGCCATGCTATTTTCACGTTGGATAGAATTTCACAGAAACATGATTCTCTAATAAGCCCCACTTAATTGAAGAGGTAGGATTTATATTTAGTTTTGAAAGACGACCGGCCCCCGGACCATTGGTAACCTAGACAATAAATACATTCAAAGATTTTACCAAACCACTCTTATCAAGCTTTACATTATTTGCTTATATCTTAGTTATTTTACTATCAATAAATACATTCGAAGATTTTACCAAACCACTCTTCTTAAGCTCTACATTATTTGGTAATACCTTAGCTGTAGTAGTATTGGTTTATTGAGTTCCTTTAGTATTCCCGATACGAATACGTTTCTAGGACTCCTTCCAAGCATTATACAAACACTCATTTAGTTACACGTAGAATTCATATATGTGCAAGGGCAGCATATATCCAGTGTGCTACTATCATGAATTCATTTCAAAATCTCCTAATTTTTTATTATTATTAAATATTATTTTTCATACATCATTTTAAATGAATAAAATAAAGAAATATATTTATGAATAGGGTTGCCAGCATTCGGGTATTGGCGAGCTCCCGAACCCCAACCTGCTGAACATTCGGCCCCCCTTGGGATGCGTTCAGTTTTTGGGTTGAACACAAACGGTTTAACCTTAAAAAAAAAAAAATCCAAATATTCAAAAAACTCTGAAAAACATATATGTTATGCAGAAAACGAAAACGAACAACATTTGCCTCAGCCTGCGTAGCATCTCGCTCGGGCTCGGTGACCGAACCCGAACGCTCGGTACCGCGCCCGAACGTGGCCCAAATTGGACCGAGCCCGAATACTTATTTTATTTATTTATTTATCTTTTATATATATATAAAGGTTGGGGGGCCATGGGGGGCCATGGGGGGCATCACTCATCACTCCTGAACA